CTTTTTTCACCCTTGGCCGGGGGTTGAACAAAAAATTACTCTCACTTATTGTTACAATATACCTTAAACTAACTCATATCAAAAATTCAGCCAAGTTGACGAAATTTCGATTTAAAGGCTTGTTTAATTGTACTATTAGGCCCATTTAATGTACCATCTATGAAATAGGGCCTAGTTATCCGGTCATTCAGTAAACCACACGAAACATTAACACTAAATCTAATTTGATAGTAGATAGGCTATGTTCATACGGTGACAAAATCCCATGTATTTTCTTATGAAGGTTCAGATTGCAAATTTTTGACGAATTTTACCCCCTCTCCTCCACTTTTAGGCCTCGCCCATAGACCAATCAGACCGTAGCATGCAAATTGGCCACGTTTCTCGACCAATCACATCGCGGCAAATTGGCGGTAAATTTAAAATCCAGTAACGGTAGGTTGTTTGATCAATCAGAGTGCGACAATAAAATTGGCGGTAAATTCAAATTTCTAGATTTAAACGTTTGCGCAATAGAGATCGGAGTGAGGGAGAGAGGTAGGCTGCAATTGACGGTAAATTTAAAGTTGGTTTCGAATTTTATTTAAATTAAAAATTCTTGCTCTGTCTGAGATTCGAACCCCGAACTTTTGGATTCCAAAGCGAGCCCGTTACCTCTAGACCACCATAGTAGCATTTAACAACAGGAATAATGTGGTTGATATATTGATGCTAAATAATATTTCAGCTATTAGTATAAAATTTACGGTTGGGTAGCGCTTAAAATCTGAGGATAAAAAATTTAATTACTAGAAGAATTCCATGCTATTCAGGAAATGAGTTAATATGAACAAAAATAAAATGTGTAATACATGCGCAGAACATACTTGTAATTAGTGCCTTGTTGGTGGTAAATTCAAATTTCTAGATTTAAACGCTTGCGCAATAGAGATCGGAGTGAGGAGAGAGGTGGGCTGCAATTGGTGGTAAATTGAAAGTTGGTTTCGAATTTTATTTAAATTGCTCTGTCTGAGATTCGAACCCCGAACCTTTGGATTCCAAAGCAAGCCCGTTACCTCTAGACCACCATAGTATAATTTAACAACAGGAATACTGTGGTTGATATATTGATACTAAAAATATTTCAGCTATTAGTGTGAAATTTCATAATCTTAAGATGAGAAATTCAAACACAGCTCCGTTCAGGTCTCTTAAACAAAAAAGCATGTGCATTAGCACCTTATATTTCGCTAACGGTTTGAAATAAATAGCTGTGTCACTAAAATTAGGTTAAGATATTTACGAAACATCAATTTTTTTACAAAAGTTAAACACGAAAACGAAGCATTGTTTTAAAATCACTGTCTGTTAAATTTATTGTACATTACATTAATTAACACCCTGTATAACATTATCTATTTAATTACTAGAAGAATTCTATGCTATTTAGGAAATCAGTTTAATAGAAACCGTTGTTATTATTATCTTGATACTGTCGTGTCATCTGTATATATATCTTAAGTTCGTATTAAAGCCCATGTGACCGACACTAACTACTTATTCTTTTAAATATCAAATTGTATTGAAAAAGGAAAAGTTCAGCCTAGGTCTGGGAGAGAACGTATTAAGAACAAACCAACAGATATAAAAAGCTTTTAAAATCTAAGAGTTGTCATGTCGCTTCTTTAAGAACATCCTGTAGACTACTGCTGCTGCTTCTGAAGTGGCCTGAAGAATGTAGGTACCTAGAGGAGAGGAATGGAATGAGAAAGAAAATCTCAGTATGTGTACACCGTTTATTAAGACTGCTTCTTAAAGCTGTTAAAAATTCAGATTCAATAGGTACTAGTTTAATATTAGAACGAGAGAGAGAGAGAAAACAAATGGTATTGTTACCTTTATACATGTGTCATCACAAAGCACGACAACAGCCGGGGTTCATTCGCCAGAAATTGAGTGGGTATATGAAACAAATATCAAAAATTCAAACTCCGTTCAGGTCTCTTGAACGAAAAAACATGTGCATTAGCACAAGATATCTTATATTTCGCTAACGGTTTGAAATAAATATCTGTGTCACTGACGTAAAAGCATCATCCACGTATACAAAATCCGAGCAACAGACATGCGCATATTTGTACATCTACCGGATGTTTTTTTTAAGTAACACAACTCTTGTAACTTATATACAAGTTGTATGATTGAGAGAAAATGGGGGAATTGAATTGTTACTGAATGGTAAATTCAATCCCTTCATATTAGGTTTGGGAGTAAATACCATTACATATAATTTTTTGTATAAAAATACACTATAAATATGGAGAAGAAATGCCGTTGGATGGAATATCAGTTATAATATAAAAAGTGGCTATTATATTTGTTGCATAAATTGTTAGGTAAAGGGTGAGATGTAGAATATTTTTTCATTACTGATTTTTTCTCTTAAACATGATATAAGTAAAACCTCAAGATCGCTATGCTTTAGACTAAAATTGGAGCAAAAATAATAATAATTCCAGATATTTAGTTTTTATTTCAACTTCAGATCTACATCTATGTCATATGAGTAAAATGACAAAATAGAACAAGTTAAATCACTAATTTAATTAATGATGCAGTTATGAAGGATTTTGATTATTTTTCAAAAAGTTGTAGGAAAAGATAAAGTTATTGTACCGCTTTTTATATATACATTATTTTGAACGAAAATAATTAATTTACATAAGATTTGCCGTTTTACTACAAATTGATGGTTTTGTAAAAGTCGAAATATTTGTTATGTTGTATATGTTACGTTGAGAATATTAATTTTCAAGTAATTTAATGATAATATACTATACATATATTATCGTCAACAATTAAAGTTCCTTAGTAAAAGTGTTTAATACTACTAGATTTATCCTAGATTAAACATTTAAAGAATACATATATTTATACGAGGTGTAACCAAAATGCTTGTCCAAACTTGAATAACAGATTCTATTTCACAAATTCCTGGTGCAAAATGACATTCGAGCTGAACTTGGTAAATATAAAGATCACATTATGTACTGAAATCACATGAGCAACCATTGAGATTGATGTTTAGAATATGGACAAAAATAAAAAATATGTTTAATGCATGCGCAGAACATACTTGTAATTAGTGCCTTAGTTTCTTCAAAATCGCAATGTTAGCATAAATCATGATAAGAGAGGTCAATGAACTCCAAACAGCATTACATCATTCTAATACGGTATTGCATCATTCGATTTAGGTTCGATCAGCACCACATTGAAATTGATGGGGGATTTAAAATATATGTAATATTAAAAAAATTGCTGCATAGTAGATCTCGGGATGATGGGGATTGGCGGTAAATTCAAAAACTGAAATAATAGAAATAATATATATGTGACAAAATATATGTGTAAAACGTGTAATTAATTACTTTAAAATCAGTAAGTCAACACAAATCATACTTATAAGGAAGGTCAATGAACTCCAAACAGTATTACATCATTCTTATTCGGAATTGCATCAATATCAGCATATGAGTGGAATTAGCGGAAAATTTAAAACTAAAGATGAATAATGGAAATAGCATATGTATTGAAATTATAACGCATGCGTATAAGCATTTGATTAGACGGGGCTGGCGGTAAGTTCAAAATTATAAATTAACAGAAAATATAATAATAAAATTAATATGTTATCTCAGTAAGAAGTATAATTAGATACATAATAGTTTAATCCAGATACGGGACTTAAGCATGCAAGAAGAAATTAGGATATTATTTTATATTAAAAGTACATACAGGGAATTTTGTTTAAAACGTGATTATCGAGAGGTGAGAGGAATAGAATTTTGAAGAGGGTAATGATAAATTCTTATCACTGTAATGTATTTCATTTATTTCAAAAGGTAATAACGGCGAATGCTCTAATGATTTTGTGCAATATGTCTGTTCCAGTTAAATACAAATGTATCAAATGTGTTGGTGAAACGGAACTACCGAACACAAAATATATACCATGCGCGACTAAAGAAATAAACTGCAAACAGCATTACATCTTCTCATCAGGTACTGCATCATTCAATTGAGGTCACGTGATCTGCCGTTGATATTGAGGTTCAAATTTAAATATGAACAAAAATAAAATATGTTTAATACATGCCCAGAACATACTTGTAATTTAATAACTTAATTCCATTAAAATTACCACGTTGGCATAAATTGTAATCTGATATCTACAAGAGAGTAAAAGAGGTCAATTAACTCCAAACAGTATTACATCAATCCCATCAGGTATTGCATCATTCGATTGAGGTCACGTGATCGACCGTTGATATAGAAACTCAACGTTAAATATGAACAAAAATAAAATATGTTTAATACATGCGCAGAACATACTTGTAATTAGTATCTTATTTCCATTAAAATCCCCAAGTCAGCAAAAATTGTAACCTAATAGAAATAAGAAATATATATTTATTATTTTATTTTTATAGCTTATTATAATACAGAGTTAAATTGCTACAATGGCATCAAGTTCTTTTTAACAGAAAGTACAAAATTTTATATGCATTCCACAAATCCAACAGACTTCCAAGGTAGAAAAATTACGTTTCGTTCTCGCCTTCTACATATTCGGCAAACCTTTTCAAGCGTTCCCAACATTCGTCCTCAGGAATGGAATTTTACATTACTTCGATTGGCCTGCTACCAGACATTACACTCTTTAAAAGCACTTATTGCTACACATGATTATGATTTACTGAAGAATAATAATCGAACATCTAATGATTAAATTTACAGAACAAAAGTTGTGTTTTAGTCACTCTTTCTCTTGATAACAACTTGAATATTGCCCATCGTAAGTTGTTACAATCAGTGGTATTATACAATGGAGGTGGTAGGATTGTAATTCTTGAAGGTGCTGTGCTACTAAACCGTGTGTTGTTGTTGACACCAATCAATCAGGAGAGCTGCGGCAAAGATGAAGCGTTTATGCTGTTTTCGCTACATTAACTTAATACCATAATACTTTTGAATGATTTTTGCGATGCTCTTCAGTACTAATGCAATTGTAGCAACCGTTATAAAGTAAATAGGCCCAGAAATTGTATTCATATCTGTTTTCATATCATCAGACGCCACGATGAGTGCGTCTACATGTACATCTTCATAATCGGAGCAGTTTAAAATAGGTAATGGTCTCCAGACATCGAAATCTCCAATCGATTTATCTTGAAATGTTATTCTCAACTTGTAGAATTTAGAATCTTCCGGAATTGGTGCCCCGAAGACCCTCAACTTTCCACCATTAACTACTGTATGCCTCATCTGAGTTAACGTATGCGGACACGTATCACTTTCGCTGGCATTTCGGTAGCACACATACATTTCTTCTACGTTGTGTATATCATGTACATATAACACATTTTGTAGTACTGCAGTTAAAATTATGAAATTGAAACGTAAAACGGCCATCGTTGTTAAGCAACAGACCACTGCCTATAAACGAATGAGCTACATAATAATTTGTAAAGCCATATAACTGGTTTTTCTTATACCTGAAAAGTAGAGGGGGAGAGGAAATAAAACAAACAAGGATAAGTAAACATATATTAAGCATATTAAAATATAATAAATGTATTATAACGTAATTGGTACAATTCTTGTAGATGTAGGTCCATCCTTCGTTGCAGAAAATCGATGAGGATTCGTAAATACGTCATCCCACTTGTCTTGAATATTCATCTTTTGAAACTGTTTAGTCACTTCACATTGGCTATCGTAGTGTGTTATTTCGGATTTTAATTGGCGAATTTTTTCAAGGTGTTTATCTAATAACAGCTCGAGAATTTTGGAAGTCGTTTTAATTCTTCTTTTAAATCTAAGTCTGTCCACAGCGAAAGATTCCCAGTATCTACGCCGAGCTGCAGTAGATGCAAAAGTCCACGTTTTCATTAGATACACTTTATTTTTAGATTCGTCGAAAGTAACTGTTTTCTTCTTCATTGCTGCAATAGGTTGTATATCCAAAGGAAAAGATCCTCACAGTTCCTCCTGCTGCATCTGAATGTTTTATTTGATTCATATGATATTATTATATTACATATTATTTTTTAAGCTAAATTCTTTACGATTTCGCTAAGTGGGAAGTGTTCGTGTACGATTATACAATAGGCGCTGGTATTATCAGGAAAACCTTGTGCTGTTTCAAATGTCCAATCTTACGTCCACGATAGATGATTTTATGCTTTCGTCATAATAGACTGATTTTTAATGTGAGGATGAAGCATCAATGCTAGTTAATAGAGCCATTCTGAACAACCACTACGTTTGAAAAGGATGTATAAGATCTATTGGGACCACCAAAAATTTTAATACAACATTCGCAGGAAGATATCTCGATTGCAACTGACTGGTATATGATAGGAGAAGGCAGTATCCAGCATAAACATAAATCGTTCATGGTAGACGATTATAATTCTGTACACAGATCGGCCATCTAAAGACAAATGAAGATGATGAGGTAGAGATGATTGGTAGAAGTTGTACTGTCTTGTAAATTTCTTTCCACATGTGTCGCAGGGAAATGTGATAGATTTAAGCTTGTTAGCGTGGCAGCTAAGTCCACTTCTATATGCAAACTCCTTGGAGCAAATGTCACACGTATATATGTTTACTCTTTGAGTAGCAGCTGTATAATGAATATATAATTTTATTAATAAATATAATTTACCGCACCGGCATTATTTTTGGCATTTCAAACACCGTCCATCACCGCGCAGCACCAAGCCGATAGCCGGCAAATCCACACCGCGACACCGCGTACGGGAGTCGTTCACCAGCCAGCGTCTGGACCAGTCGTGCCGAGCTCCAGCCTGCCGTCTAGCTAGCAATACGTCACCACCACCTGAGTCAGATTTTTACAAGTCCGTCTTAGGAGAACTACGCAGCCGCTACCAAAGCAGCACCAGGGCTTAGGAATTAAGCCGCCCAGGAGCGACAGTTTACCACGAGGCATCGTAGAGTCCAGTCGAGCCGTCAGCCGTTCCAAGTAGGACCTACGTCACCAGTAAGAAATTGGTAAGAATTTCACTAAGTCCAACCTGACAGAATTGCGCAGCCGCCCGTTCCCAGACAAGGAACTTAGGAAAGAAACTGAATTTGGAAATTCAGTTCCTCACCAGCCGCCGTCGCAACCAGTCGAGCTGTTCCAGCCCAAACTACGTCACCAATAGGAATTGGTCAGATTTCGCTAAGTCCAACCTGACAGAACCGCGCAGCCGCCAGAAACCACTTCAGGAACTATCATCATCAGAAGCCGTCCAATCCGAGCAGCACCGAAGTAAGTTAAGTCCCGCGCACATTCAACGCGCAAGTCTCTTGAGGTGACAAGAGACCTGGCGAGGTCATTGCACTGCAGAATTAGTTCTGTTCTACCGCTCTCACAGTGCAGACTTGTCGAGGGAAGGAAGTAAGTTAAAGGTTTAGGGAATATAGGTAAAAGACTTGGCTACTGTTCACTTGTACTAATCATACTTTGTCTTTCCAGATATCCGTCCGTACGACTCCGTGGCTGGGTGCACTGTTGCAATTATCCGGTGTACTTAGCCCCGCTGCGCGTTCGGGTCATAGAGTGTCGCTCCCCCCTCCTATCCGCTCTATGAGTCGAAACGCAGGTCGTTCTTAATTATATTTCTTTTCAGAGATCCGTCTAGCCGACACCGTGGCTGGGTGCACTGTTGCAATTATCCGGTGTACTTGACCCCGCTGCGCGTTCAGGTCATAGGGTTTAGCTTCCCCCTCCTATCCGCTCTATGAGTTGAAACGTAGGTCGGCGCTAGTCTGTTTCAGCCTGCCAGCCGCATACCAGTGCCAAGGAAACCTATTATTCTTTAATAATTGTATTTCTGTTTATTTTAGAGATAGTAGCCAAGCCTGTAGTGTATATATAGCTTTTAGCTCTTGCTAGCTTTGTTGCTTCCTCACCCCGCCCCCCTGGTATCTGTACGCCGCTTGCCGTCACATTCACGTTTGTTTTACTAGTGCCGCTAATTCTATAAGCATTGCTTTCGTCAGGTCACTGCTTAACACCGCACCGTTATTTTACCATTCTTCGTAGTAACCCCCTGTATATAACCATAGCCACTTGCCACCGTTTAGCCGTAGATGTAGAGTGTCAAAGTGTAAATAGGTAGAATTGGACTGAATAAATGTAAATATATACCAATTGTGTGACTTTTATTCCTGTGTGAAGGAACTCTCTCTCGACCCTCTGGACATACCGTGTCTTCATTGCAGCCGCCCGCGTAGTGGTGTTTCTGCACTTTAAACAGAAACTGGCGCCCGAGGAAACCGCCGCCGCTCAGGCGTCATAGTGACGAACGACGAAAATACCAACCGATACGTCACAGTACTCGAGGATTATACTATTAAATACCCTTTTTGTGATCCTTTTTTTAAGGTGATTATCCAGTTTTTGCGTGACGATCATCCAGTTTTATGTGATGATTATCCAGTTTTTACGTTATGATTATCCAGTTTTACGTGACGATTATCCAGCCTTTAAGTGATGATTATCCAGTTTTACGTGACGATTATCCAATCTTTACGTGATGATTATCCAGTTTTACGTGACGATTATCCAGTCTTTACGTGATGATTATCCAGTTTTACGTGACGATTATCCAGTTTTTACGTTATGATTATCCAGTATTTACGTGATGATTATCCAGTCTTTACGTGATGATTATCCAGTTTTACGTGACGATTATCCAGTTTTTACGTGAAGATTTGTTACAGTGTCAACAAAATAATATTCTTGTTTACTTTAGAGAAGGCTGATAGGGTTTGGTAGATATTATTTTTTTTTGAGAGGCGGGAGACTAATACCCTATCTCTATACTGTAACGCGAATTAGAGTATTTAAAGTTCAAGGCAGCCCTTCGTCCCCTGAACGACTGAATCACACTGGCTAGTCAGTGGGACAGTGGGGTGGGTAAGAGGAGATGAGGTTGATGCTCTACCTGAATTCAAACTACTTTGAGACATCTAATTCTACTCTGTTAACTGAATTTACTTGCAAATCACAGATTGTGCTCTTTAAAAGAATATATGCAGGTGTAACACAATGTATCAGTACATATACAATATTATATCATTTGACAAGGCTTTATCTGCAGAAAGTGATCACTTGCGCTTACATATGACATTACATAGTCTAAATACAAAAATAATACTTGATCTCTCAGATTTACTAAAATTGAGCCCCAATCTGGGTGAACGTTAACTTATATCGGCAATGAATCAATAAATACTATTAAATAATAAACCAACAGTGAATAAAACCGTAAATACTATGATTATCAGTAATCAGTACTCCATTTTCAACACGGAACACATAAATGACAAAATCTCGGGGTACTTAGCTGTACTCGACAGCCAGTCAAGTTTCCAGTCGGTCTCTACGGCCCTATATACCAAGGTCTTCGAAAGGGGTGGTCGATAGGCAGAGGCACTAAAAGTCAGGTCCGGTACAAAGATCCAGTCCGTACCAACAAGGACGGTCCCATATAAGTGAGGTCCGCTACGAAATGGAGGTCCTGTACAAAATTCAATGGGAGTTCTGTACAAAATTCAATGGAAGTCCTGTACAAAATGCAATGGGGATCCCGTACGAAATGCAATGAGGGTCCCGTACCAAAATTCAATGGGGGTCCCGTACAAAATTCAATGGGGGTCCCGTACAAAATGCCCTGAAAGTACACCAATACTTAGATTTCGTGTATGGTTAGCTTTACGACGAAAACAATGAAAATTACTTACGTGGTTGGAGGTACGGCAGAAAGTGGCTTAGTACAACAGTCCCACGCCCGGGTGACGTCGTATGAACATGATCCAACCAAAAAGGCCGCTATATTTTCAATATCAACTCGCAACAAAACCAAATTCCAACGTATTGAAAATAACTATCCACTGGACAGTCACCGGCAAAGCAGTTTTAATCCTTAGAAATCTCCAAGAGGCACTATATTCTGCTTTCCAGGCAAACCCAACGGCGTGGTCACTGAGGTAAAAAAAACAATGCCCAACGCCTTTTTCCGGACCGAAATTCTAGAACAAATTCCTGCCAACCTTACCCATTTCTAACAACATGGCCCCAAATTTTCCCAGATCGACACCAGCCTCTCAAAACTAATAAAATCAGAATTATTCTCGCAATCCAAAATCATCAAAATATGAGAGTACGCTCATGGTCGCAATATTTGTAGTGCGCTTTATCGCCGCAGGAGGTTAAACACCGCGCGAACTCGCGAAGCGACGTAGGCAACCCGCGTTTCGGACGCAGGGCCGGCTGGTTGCTGACCTCGCGCTCCAAAATCTAATTTATTCGCTTGTGAAAAATTAAACCGTAACAGATTATCCAGTTTTAAATGACGATTATCCAGTCTTTATGTGACGATTATCCAGTCTTTACGTGATGATTTTCCAGTATTTACGTGATGATTATCCAGTTTTATGTTACGATTATACAGTTTTTACGTTATTATTATCCAGTCTTTACTTGACGATTATCCAGTTTTATGTAATGATTATCCAGTTCTACGTGACGATTATCCGGTTTTTACGTGATGGTTATCCAGTTTTACTTGTTGATCATCCAGTCTTTACGTGATGATTAACCAGTTTTAAGTGACGATTATCCAGGTTTTACGTTATGATTATCCAGTCTTTACGTGATGATTATCCAGTTTTACGTGACGATTATCCAGTTTTTACGTTATGATTATCCAGTTTTTACGTGACGACTATCCAGTTTTACGTGATGATCATACGTTGCTACTAATCTTGAAGTTGGCCGTTTGATAGAAAACAGGTCTCAGGCTATAGAAAACAGATCGGTAGCATATGGAGATTAGACATCACGTAAAGACTGGATAATCGTCACGTAAAACTGGATAATCATAACGTAAAACTGGATAATCGTCACATAAAACTGGATAATCATCACGTAAAGACTGGATAATCGTCACGTAAAACTGGATAATCATCACGTAAAGACTGGATAATCGTCACGTAAAACTGGATAATCATCACGTAAAGACGATAATCATCACGTAAGGACTAGATAATCATCACGTAAAGACTGGATAATCATAACGTAAAAACTGGATAATCGGCATGTAAAACTGGATAATCATCACGTAAAAGACTGGATAATCGTCACGTAAAACTAGATAATCATCACGTAAAGGCTGGATAATCGTCACGTAAAACTGGATAATCATAACGTAAAAACTGGATAATCATCACGTAAAACTGGATAATCCTCACGTAAAAACTGGATAATCACCTTAAAATAAGGATCACAAAAAGGGTATTTAAGGGTATTATCCTCGAGTACATATTCATTATACAGCTGCTACTTAAAGAGTAAACATGTATACGTGCGACATTTGCTCCAAGGGGTTTGCATATAGAAGTGGACTTAGCCGCCACGCTAATAAGCATAAATATATCACATTTCCCTGCGACACGTGGAAAGAAATTTACAAGACAGTACAACTTAATCGCTCACAGGGAAACCATACATCAGCAGTTATTGATAACAGCGAGCTAACCGCCGACGACATGAACAGTACCTGTAATAGAAAATATATATACAGACCCCTCGACTGCTATGATAATGAAACGTTAAACATGGATAATGATGAACAATTAGAAACAGATTGTGAGATCAGCGAAGATATGCTAGAAAGAGAGACCGGAGACGATCCCGACAAACTTGTAAATGATTTATCGCTATTATTACGTTTGACTAAAGAACATCACCTCTGTCGTGGCATTATCAACAAGCTACATGATATGGCAATAATTCAGTAACTTACCAATCATCTCCACCTCATCATCTTCATTTGTCTTTAGATGGCCAATCTGTGTACAGAATTATAATCGTCTACCATGAACGATTTATGTTTATGCTGGATACTGCCTTCTCCTATCATATAGCAGGCAGTTGCAATCGAGATATATTCCTGCGAATGTATTAAAATTTTTGGTGGTCCCAATAAATCTTATACATCCTTTTCAAACGTAGTGGTTGTTCAGAATAGTTCTATTAACTTGCATTGATGCTTCATCCTCACAGTAAAAATCAGTCTATTATGACGAAAGCATAAAATCGTCTACCGTGGACATAAGATTGGACATTTGAAACAGCACAAGGTTTTCCTGATAATACCAGCGCCTATTGTATAATCGCACACGAACACCTCCCACTTAGCGAAATCGTAAAGAATTTAGCTTAAAAAATAATATGCAATATAATATCATATGAATCCAAATAAAATATTCAGATGCAGCAGGAGGAACTGCGAGGATTTTTTCCTTTGAATATACAACCTACTGCAGCAATGAAGAAGAAAACAGTTACTTTTGACGAATCTAAAAATAAAGTGTATCTAATGAAAACGTGGACTTNCGGAAGATCCTACGCACTTTGATAACATCGATATTACCAACATTAGATTAACGCTAAACGGCGAGAGCTTCCCTAACGAGAGGATGCGAATTTTGCAAAGAACGACTACGCCGAAGCTCACTACAACTACACCGAGTTTTATCCAAGTTACTCGAATACGCTGCAGAAGAAATCTTTACTAGATTACCGCACCTTTAGGAATCACGCTCTTTTCGTCATCAATTGCTCGAGGCGGGATGAAAGCATAAAATCATCTACCGTGGACGTAAGATTAGACGTTGAAGCAGCACAGGGTTTTCCTGATAATACCAGCGCCTATTGTATAATCGTACACGATTGTATCATGGAATACCTCCCACTTAGCGAAATCGTAAAGAATTTAGCTTAAAAAATAATATGTAATATAATAATATCATATGAACCCAAAAAAAAAACAGTCAGATGCAGCAGGAGGAACTGCGAGGATCTTTTCCTTTGGGTATACAACCTATTGCAGCAATGAAAAAGAAAACAGTTACTTTCGACGAATCTAAAAATAAAGTGTATCTAATGAAAACGTGGACTTTTGCATCTACTGCAGCTCGACGTAGATACTGGGAATCTTTCGCTGTGGACAGACTTAGATTTAAAAGAAGAATTGAAACGACCAAAATTCTCGAGCAGTTGTTAGATAAACACCTTGAAAAAATTCGCCAATTAAAATCCGAAATAACATACTACGATAACCAGTGTGAAGTGACTAAACAGTTTCAAAAGATGAATATTCAAGACAAGTGGGATGACGTATTTATGAATTCTCATCGATTTTCTGCAACGAAGGATGGACCTACATCTACAAGAATTGAACCAATTACGTTATAATATTACATTTATTATATTTTAATATGCTTAATATATTCTTACGTATCCTTGTTTGTTTTATTTCCTCTCTCCCTCTACTTTTCAGGTATAAGAAAAACCAGTTATATGGCTATATACAAATTATTATGTAGCTCATTCGTTAATATAGGCAGTGGTTTGTTGCTTAACAACGATGGCCGTTTTACGTTTCAATTTCAACTGCAGTACTACAAAATGTGTTATATGTACATGATATACACAACGTAGAAAAAACGTATGTGTGCTACCGAAATGCCAGCGAAAGTGATACGTGTCCGCATACGTTAACTCAGATGAGGCATACTATAGTTAATGGCGAAAAGTTGAGGGTCTTCGGGGCACCAATTCCGGAAGATTCTAAATTCTACAAGTTGAGAATAATGTTTCAAGATAAATCGATTGGAGATTTCGATGTCTGGAGACCATTACCTATTTTAAACTGCTCCGATTATGAAGATGTATATGTAGACGCACTCATCGTGGCGTCTGAGGCTACGAAAACAGATATGAATACAATTTCTGGGCTTATTTACTTTATAACAGTTGCTACAATTGCGTTAGTACTGAAGAGCATCGCAAAAATCATTAAAAAGTATTATGGTATTAAGTTAATGTAGCGAAACCCCACATCTTTGCAGCATTAACGCTACAAAGCTATGTCAGGATGGTGGAAAAGAGTTTAAATATTGGCTACGTAATAAAATATTGAAAGAGCTTATGCGATATTATGCATCAGAAGGTGCTGGGGACTATTATCCCTAGCAAACAGTAACGGGTAATAAGAACCCCGTATAAATACGATTATTTCTGGGACGTATAATTTAATTTATTCACACAAATAATTTACACATAATAAAACACAGCAGCAAGAATGACAGTGAATAAATAAGCAGGCAATAAGTGATTAAACACTTGTTTTGCACAACAAAAGCAACAATAAAATATAAGCTACTTAGTAAATAAAAACGAAAATGAATACAAATCCACAACAAAAGTTAACTAAAAACCTAGTACAAACAAAGCATCAAAATACAGTAAATATATAAAATCGCACAGAATTACATACGCGCAGTCAAGTGTGCGCCGTACAGGACTATGCACAACATGCAAGTAGTCAAAAAGAGTGGTCGGTACTTAAGAGCTAATGAAATATAACCTCGCACATCCTTCACAACTTACATTCAATAATGTCGCTAACCATTGCTCTGTTGCTGCAAAAGATAAACGCCTTCAACTTTCTTCTGAAGTGTTTAAAGCCCGTAATATGCTTCAGTGATACAGATAATGAATTAAATAACTTTGGGGCCATAACAGTATAGCAGAGAAGGATTTAATTACTAAAGGTACGATGTGATGGTCTTTATTACGAGTAAGGTAGTTATGACTAGGAAGTAATGCCTTACTCTTATTGGTGTGATATTTTAATAATGCACATTAATAATAAATCTGCCGAATGTCCATAATCCTACTCTCAGCGTATAGAAAGTCTGAAGAGTAATCATATTTTTTTCCGAATATTCAAAAAATCTTCAAAAATCTTTTTTGGTTGATTTCAAGGGGGTTAATATGAACCCTTCGCGCAGAACCCCAAGCGAGAATGCCATATCGAATATGGCTTTCAGCTAAGGCATAATACAAAGTCTTCAGATGTTTAATAGGTAGGTANTCAGCATATAGGGAAAAGCAGATGTTTTCTAATACCGAGTCAATGGCATTTATATACAAAATAAATAATAAAGGTCCCAGGATGGACCCTTGGGGCACCCCTGTACCAACTATTTTATACTTAGAGGCAACACATGATTGAAAGTCATCTCCACGATATTGTATAGATGTAAATTGTTTCCTACCATTAATGAAAGAATAAACCCACTGCAAAGATTTACCTCTGACTCCATAGTCTGATAGTCGGCTAAGTAATATTCAGCTTCATATACCATTATACCATTGTGTACGATTTTTTTCCTTTTCTTTTTGACTGCTATTACTGTCGCTAGGAGACACTTTCCAGATACCATTGTTTGTTTAATTCAACTGAACGGACTCTGCTATAATACTCGTAGTCAGAGGCGGTCTTAGGGGATGGCGAGCGGGGCAATCGCCCAGGGCCTCGCTCTTTCAGGGGCCTCGCGCAACAACCCGAGTAAAAAAAGTTTATATTTAAAAGTTTATTTTATCCTTAGCTCTTAGTTATATAGGTATATGACAATAAAATAAAGTTTGTTAATAATTCATAGTAAATATATTAATACTTAATAAGCAGGTGCCTAAATAATATTTCTTATTTAGATTTATTTAACGATCGATATCAAAATCAATTAATTTATCAGTGGATAATAATATTTTTTATAATTTGACTATAAAACATAATTGACTAAGTTCATGTATATGTATATATATTTTTTAAACTTTTAGTTACGTCATTTTATTTTCGCATTCTTAGCAAACTCTTACATTTGATACCCATATCATAGGGGTGCATAAAAAATAACTGGCCCGCCATCTTTGGGAGTTCGATATATTGGATTTAGAATGACGTCACTTAACTAACCAAGCATTGTTATCCAAACTAAACGTATATACAAAATTTCAGCTCCATCGGTTGGAGACAACTTTTTTAAAATTCAGTTGCAAGTCTTGACTCATACTAACAAGACAAGCTAAATAAAAACTTGTACAAATATGTTTGAATCTTGTACCTTATTTTATCATTAGTAATAATTTGTCGTCTTAGTATTTGTTAACATTTAAAAATCTTTTAATATTTGAAATCTCAAAATTTATAACTTCTGCATTTTTCTTAAATCATCAGAAATATCTACTGGTACATTCGATTTACGTACATTACACAAAGAACAAGGACCTCGCAAAGATCTGCTGCCCGGGGCCTCGTAAAATCTGCTGCTCGGAGCCTCGCAAGGGTTAAGGCCGCCCCTGCTCGTAGTATGTGAGCAAGAAAACCGTACATTCTTGGTTCCCGCGATTTGATCCGTACGGTCCTGTTTGCACGAATGGAACAAGTCTGCGTGGCCCTTTATGTTGTAACTAATAGAAAGTTTTAATATAATTTAGGATTTTGGGCAGGGATGCACATACCGCGGCCCGCGGGCCGCATGCGGCCCGCTGTCGATGTTTATGCGGCCCGCCAACGAATTTTAAAAGTATTCTACTCGCCGCGCTCCGGTCCAAGCATATTATTACGAGACTAGAAATCTGTCGCATCAACTAGATTACAGATTCGCGAAACACGTCGATCCCCGAACAAAGTGGATGGTTCTCGATGTTTGGTAACTCGTATAAATACGACGCATCGCCGGCTACCGGGGCAGTTAAGTTTTGACTACGGATAAGCGAACGTTATACTGTTTGAGAACTGTAATCTGTGACGAGTAAATATTTCGTCGTTCGAACTTGGCTTTTACCGACTGTAACATATAATATTAATTTTGATATGGATAAACCAGGCCCCAGTAAGAAACGTAGTCGTAAGGTTGAAGATGAAAATCGACAGTTTCATGATATTTGGACCGAAAAATACTTTTTTATTTCATCGCATAACAAAATTGTCTGTTTAATATGCAAGAGTAGTGTTTCTATTCCGAAGGAATATAATGTGAAAAGGCACTATGAAACCCAGCATCCAACTTTTACCAAATTAACTGGCGAAAATCGAACGCAAAGAATTTCCACTTTACAACGGGAACTAATAGGCCAGCAATCTATGTTTACAAAACCAATTCAAGATGCTGAAACAGCCACTGAAGTTAGCTTTGAAATATCTCGAATAATAGCGAAAACTTGTCGGCCTTTTAAAGATGGTGAGTTTGTTAAGCAATGTTTGGATATCGCCGCAAAAAAAATTTGTCCGGAAAATGTAAAGAAGTTTGAAAAAATTCAGTTAAATCGGATGACTGTTCAAAGAAGAATTACCGCATTAGCAGATAATATAGAAGAGCAATTAGCTACGAAATCGAGAAGTTTTGAGTATTTTTCTATAGCGCTCGACGAATCTACAGATATAAGTTCAACTGCTCAACTATTAATATTTTTACGAGGTGTAACGCAAAATTTTGAAGTGAGTGAAGAACTGATTGGTATGAGTTCTTTGACAAGTCAAACCAGGGGAAGTGACATGCTCAAAGCTCTTCTAGAAAAATGTTCTATAATGGATTTGGATTTAACGAAAATATCTGGAATTACAACTGACGGAGCACCTTCAATGGTTGGAAGTACATCTGGGATAGTAACTCTGTTAAAAACATATTTACAAACTAAAAACATAAATACCAAGGAATTAATGCAGTTTCATTGTATTATACATCAAGAGGCCCTCTGTTCAAAATTATTGGGATTTGAAAATGTTATGAAAGTTGTAGTACCTACCGTAAACTTTATAAAATCACGAGGTCTCAATCACCGACAATTCAAACAATTTCTCGAGGATATTGAAAGCGAATATGGTGATCTCCTGTTTTACACTGAAGTAAGGTGGCTAAGTCGTGGGTTGACACTACAGCGATTTCTTAACTTGATTGAAGAAATCCAACTATTTCTGGCGGAAAAGAAAAACGACGTCCCCGAACTCGACAACCCTGATTGGCTGTGTGACTTAGCGTTTCTTGTAGACATCACAAATCACTTGAATGTCTTAAATACGCGACTCCAAGGCAAAGATCAATTGATTTCGCAGCTATACTCTCATGTTTCGTCCTTTCAATGCAAATTGAGTCTTTTCAGGACACAAATCAATTCAGCCAATTACGGCCATTTTCCGAACTACAAAAAAATTATGGAGAAGTTCAATAAAACTGACGTCAATTTCGCTCATGTTGAAAAAATTGATATTTTGATACAAGCTTTTGAAAATCGTTTTGTAGACTTCAAAAAAGTTAAACCGCTATTGGACATTTTCAGCAATCCTTTCAACATTTCACCCGAAAATGCGCCGGAATTAATGCAGCTGGAATTAATAGACATGCAAAATGATGATAATTTAAGAAACAAATTTAATGAAGGTAATTTACTCAACTTCTACCGTTGCGTTGATAAAAACGCTTATAAAGAGTTGCGAATAAATGCATTGAAATGCGCAAGCTTATTTGGATCGACGTATATTTGTGAACAAACGTTTTCAGTGATGAAACTTAACAAAACGAAAAACCGAAACCGTCTGGCAAATGAAAATTTGGAAGCAATTATACGTGTGGCTACAAGTAATGTGGAGCCAAATATAAAAAAACTTGTTAGTTCAATGCAATGTCATGCATCAAAATAATAAAACATGAAATATTACATTGTAATGATTACATAATTATTACAACAAACATTTTTGAAGGTTATTTTATTTTTATCATTGTATTTCATACTATTTAAAAATAAAAAATGTTGTGTTAATAAATATTGTTTGTAGTGGCCCGTCCTTGGCTTATATTTTTCCCGAGTGGCCCCTGCTCCCTATAAGTCTGTGCATCCCTGATTTAGGGTAATATGTTATTTGTATCATGAGTCTGCTTTTACTGATGTTTTAACATTACCGCGATTGTCAAGTAAGGGGTTTAAAATATAAATTAAAATTAAATAATAATTGGTATAAATACATTTTATATTAAAATATTAAAAAATATGTGTGTATTAATATTGTAATATTAACAATTTCCCAATAATAAGATCATTTCCTTTGGTGAAATTCAATATAAAAATGGCAAAATAACTTCTGTTTTTCATGTTTCATTGAAATTTCTCGAAATAATAGATGATGATAGAAGCAGAATTATGACAAAAGTAACAATTTATATTAAATAGAATTATGTAATTATGTAGTTGTTCTTCGTCTACGGTATAGATGGCACTACCAAAACGATCAAACCTGCCAACCCTGTGCATCTTGTGCACGGCCAGAATGCTTCGGACTCGCTACATGCATGAAGCGCTTCTCTAATTGACTGACGTTCCACCTGTCTTCAACAATCAACATCAAATAGCACAAGATCCGGATTTCACAAGCAAGGTGCTTTTTACGAATGAATGTTGTTTTACTAAAGAAGGCATACTAAATTTTCACAACGTTCACTATTGGTGTGATGCAATTCCTCACGTTGTACAGAGATCTCGGTTTCAGCAACGGTTTTCAGTGAATGTGTGGTATGGTGTTTTTGGTGACAGATTACTCGGTTCGATAGTGTTACCTGCACGTTTAAATAGTGCTGTTGAGTTTTTAACAAACGCCTTATCGGATTTGTTGGAAAACGTCCCTTTACAAATTTGTGCCCAAATGATCTTCATGCATGATGATACCCCTCCCCATGTTTCTCATACAGTTTGTGAATTTTTACATACCAACTTTCCGTAAAGGTGGATAGGACGAATTTGAATAAATTTCAGCATTTTCGAACACAAAATTTAAACCGTCAAAGCCGCCATCAGCACTTTTGCACTGCGGCGCGCGGCAACATCGATATCAAAGGTGCAACTGGCTACTGCACCAGGAATGGCTTTAAATTTAAAACGTAATAATAAAGGTTGCTCTTATTTCAGAATCACCCTGTTACAATTTTTTATCAAATATTTGAAAAAAATGAAAATTAAAAAATGGAACACGACCCTATTCAAACAAACAAAAGTCCTCTTGTGCAGAAAATATACTTGGAAATGTTTCTTTGTGCAAATATTTCGCAGTGCCTTGCGTGAATTGTTAGAAAATATATGTATTATTTGTCGTATCTATGTACTGAAATTATCGGTAAAATATTTTTGTCATTATGTTGCCAAACTGTAAAATTATTAAATACGTCTCTGTTTTTTACACATTGGCGAATAGTAGAGCGTCTCTACAGTGTAGGAAAGTACCGATGGTCTATCAGAAGTTACGTGAGAGCGATAAAGTAAGCCATAGCAATCCATGCGATAGAGAAGGATGGCTATAATGAAGGCCTCTCATAGTCACCGCCCGTTTCGCCCTTCCGCAAATAAGATCCACTTCTTATTTGTGGAAGGGCGAAATGGGCGTTGACTATTAGACGCCTTCATTATAGCCATCCTTGTCTATCACATGGATTTCTATGGCTTACTTTATCGCTCTCACGTAACTTCTGATAGACCATCGGTACTTTCCTACACTGTATATACTAAAAAGCATGCGCAACCTACTATGCGGGTATTACGATCTCGGCTCAGCTAAATTAGTTGGTTTATATAATATGTGGTTTAGTTATAGTTTATTTTTTTATTGATAAATAACACATCAACGGTATTCAATAATTTTGATTATTTTAAATTAGTTTTGTTTAATTTGTAAAAGAGTAGGTATAACAGCAATTTAACTCCGTCTGTGATTTTTAAAATCTACATTAACAAGTCAAGTGAATACCACATCAGTAACTTAATATACCTATTAAAATTATTTTTGTCAAGGAATCATCAGACCCACTACGAACAGTTTGGGATACTACAAGCATCAGTTAAAATCGATAATAAAAATTACGATATACAACTAGAAACCGTCAGGGATCACAGTTTTGGTGTGCATAGGGAATGGAGACAATTTAAACGATACGGACTTCATTTTTTCTCTACGCAAAAAGGTGATAGATTTTCTTTGGGACAAATTTGTCTGCCCATAAATTTCTCCCGGTAAGTAAATATTGGAGGTATAAAAAAACATGATCTATTGATGAAGAGACATCTTACACAAAGAATATACTTATATAGATATTAAAATTTTAACAATACAAGGTGGAACACATTTTAATTAACTTTAAGAACCTTATTTAATGTTTCCAAAATTTAAACCCTTTTTCAAGTGCCTAAAATTTCAACATACCACGTTTAAGGAAATATTTCCACTTGGATTAATTGGAGAAGGACAAACAGTTAATCCATATTTTGTACATTAATATCCAGATAATACTCTTGCGGACTACACTGCTTGTTACATGTCTATGATAATTAATGCCTTAGTAATGCCGTAGTAATTTCTTCAGAATGCAACACCTGTGCAATGCCTAGAAATATCTAATGTCCTATAATGCTCACCAATGTTTAATCTTTAGATATTGTATACCAGAAACACCAGCGATTTTCTCCTCAAACAGAAGAGAAACGAAAATCAATTTAAAGATCATTTAATTATCTTGTCAATGGTAATTTGTTTTTTTAAATTTGAACCATATACTATATCGAAATAATGCTGGTTCAAGTTCTGTGAATAAAGAGTAAAATCTAATTTAGTATTTCTTATAAGGAGTTTTTACTGATCCGCTATAAACGGAATCTTTTCACAAACAAAAATGGACCTATTTGTCATGGAAAATTGGTTGTTCCATAAACAAGGGTTTTTTTCACAAAAATCCAGGTGAAAATTTCTACGTAGACAACCTCTATTCGAAGTAAAACTATTTAACAATAAATAATATCGGTAAACATGCAGATACAATGTTAAATTTATTATTGAGTTTTATTAGTTACTGAAAAATGTAAACAGAATAAAACACGATAAAGTAATCGTAAAATGACATCATATGTTTGCTCATTCATCACGTTCCACCTTTTACAAGAAATTAGTGTTTGTTCAAATTACCGCAACTTTTCAGTTTGACAGTTGGATACATTTATCTGGCAAAAGATAAAAAAATTTATTCAGTGCAGGACTGTGACTTAGAACTATATCAACACGGTCATTTTGGAACGCCTCCAAGAGATTATGCCTTCAGCTTTACTGCAGGTTAGTATTTTTTACTTCTAGGATAAAACAAAATATGTACAGAGTGGCCTAAATTCTACAGTTTTGAAAAACTTTTTTGTAAGAGATTCAGGGAGTTTCCATTTTTGGTCGTTTTTTTTTGTCAAAATATCTTATTTTTGTTAAGGTTTTTATGATAACATTTTCTAGGTAGAATCAGAAAAGTGCATAGGTAGTCCACTGAATTGAAAAATAAAATTATACAAAAATATATATCGTTGGATTTTATCAAAAAAAAACTGAATAAATATCTGTACAAAAATAACAAATTTTCAGAAATAAAAAAGTTATTCGATTACAGAAACAAAGGATGAAATGAAAAAAAAACGAATCGAGAAAATGTGGCGAAAATCAAGCCAATAGCATGTTATCAAGATTTTTATTTGCGTCCTGGGAAAATACGTATTTTTCTAAAACTCTAAAAGATATGAAAGATAGAAAAAAGTAATTAAGATGTCATTAGATATTCGAGAATTCGAAGAAAAACTAAATAACATAAACCGCACCTCGACATACTGATTTGTTTAAAAGATTTTTCATTTTTGGCAATGTTTCTGAAATGTCCTGATTTCTTTTATTTTTGAAGAGGAAATTTTTATTCAGTTTTTTTGCGCAGGTCTAGTTCTGTGTTATTTTTGGTTTTTCAGTTTCAACCCAACCTGATATACCCGTCCATGAAAAAATACATGGCACATAGAATAGGCAACTTGCATGAAAATTTAATTTTTTTCAGAACTGAACTTTATAGTCTTTAACCGACAACTAACAGTGAAAAAAAAATATTTTAAGATGTTTAAAATTATGCTTGGATTAAATGAAGCAATTGCGAATATCTCGAAGCAGGGGAGGTTTGTAGATATCAAACAAGCTTACCGTTTTCCAATAAAAATAATCAGTTAATCATATTTTTTATTCAAAATTGATGAGATTGAGGCTTGCATGAAATAAATTATGATGAGTAATTTCTATTCATAAGTGCATAAATAGCGCCCTCTAAAAATAACCTGATAACTGATTTCAGATTCGAATTTCCCACCATTTTCACTAAAACTGAAAAATTTATGAAATTTAATTTAATTTAATTTATTCACACAAATAATTTTACACATAATAAAACACAGCAGCATGAATGACAGTGAATAAATAAGCAGGCAATAAGTGATTAAATACTTGTTTTGCACAACAAAAGCAACAATAAAATATAAACAACTTAGTAAATAAAAACGAAAATGAATACAAATCCAAAACAAAAGTTAACTAAAAACCTAGTACAAACAAAGCATCAAAAGACAGTAAATCAATAATAAATCTAAAATCAGTCTTTAACACCCTAAATCTCATTATTGTCATGCCTAGAATCTATAGTTACTCTATGGCCCAATCAATGTTAGGGACCACCCTGTATAAGTTGGGTGTATGTGTATTAAGAAATATACTAACAAAAAATTATCCCTTACAAGCATATATATAATTACTTTTTTTAAGGATAAAACTTATGAGTGATTCAGACTTAAGGTCGTCGTGCTCTCGGTGCGTCATAAAACTTTTAAAAATAAATGGTGTTTTTCAAATAAACTTTCTTCAAAAATGCTTCAGTTTCGAGATGGAAAATGAAGTTACAAAAATGTATATTATTGACGGAGGTGAATTCAATTAACTAAAAAAAGTAGCACACCACTGTATTCACGGTTACAACTATACTTACTTAGTCAAAAATTATAATTTAATTTCTTATTATTTTCTGTAGAAAATTTGTCGTTAAACTGCGACAGATATCAAAAAATTTCAAGACATTTTTACTTGTTTAAAGACTTTATCGAAAAAGTGAGTTATTTTTATCTGGTACAGGGGCGTAGTACAGAACCAATACCTCCGTCATTGGTTTCTTAAGGAACTTGATATTGCCGCATGTCAGGCGGCCCATTCAGTTAAAATGTGTACTATATTTATTTTAAATATCTCAGTTCGGAAAATATAATTTTTTTCAACTTTATCCGATATTTCGAAACCGAGGCTTTTTGAAAAAGTTCATATTAAAAACCATTTACTTTTAAAAGTTCTATGACATACCGGGTCCCACTTTAAATCTGACTGTATATTTTATATGTTTTGGGTATTTTTTTAGGAAACAAAAAGTACGTTGTTAAGGTAAACGTGATAGATTCGCCTTATTTCTACATTAGCAAAGACTGGGAAGCGAAAATATTCGAGAGTTTATGTGAATTTGAAGTAAACGGTGTTAAAGGCTGGGGTGCTGCAGAGTGGCAATACAGGAACATCGAAGGAAAAACTGTTATGGATTATTCTGAAAATGTTCGATAAATTTTACAATACATATAATCATCCACTTCTTTTTATTTAATGCCTAAACTAAATCACAGAAATATTGTGGTTTTAAAGAAGTATAGATTCCTGTTTCTTTTTTAAGATAACATTCTAATAGCAAAAGTAATACTAAATGTGATTACATTAAAAAAACAAATTCTGCAAGTTTTAACAATAGTATCAATTTCCCACCAATTTTCTATAAAGTTTCGTGAATTAAGCTGAATGTGAGTCTCTCTCTGAATAAACTAAAATTTCATTAAAATTGGACTATATGAGGAATAATGGATCAGGGTGTCTCTAAAACGCATGTACTAAAAATAATTAAATAATTTATAACCAAAATTTTACCAAAATCTTTTTTTTAAGTGTCAATTAATTAATCAATAAGTAGGTAATCAATCAAAAGTATTATTATTATTTTAGTACTAAAATTTATTATTAAATTAGTGGGAAAAATATTCACTAATTTTTGTTAATTTGTAAATTTTTGTTCCTAGAGAAAATAAAATTTAATATTTTCTTTGCATTGTTTAAATTATACCTTTGAAAACAAGACAGATTATTTATTTAATAAATTCGAGAGAAAATCTTGAAAGAGACGCATAAAAAATAATGTTTTTTTTCAATCCCTTAACTAGGCCCCCACCAAATTTCTGCCTATAGGCCTCACAAGCGTAAATCCGGCGCTGGTACTAGCAAACCACTGTAATTTCTATATCACAAAAAGGACTATATCTCAGTAAGCGTCAAATTTTTTATATAGATAAGCTGGTTTCATAAAATGATCTCATTTTGATCCCAGGAAATAAATACATGTAGGTACCTACCAAGCTATCATAGAATCTGTTTTTGTCTTTACATCATAAAACGTGTTTTATACGCAAGCAATTTTATCGTTCTGCAACAAGCTCTAAATTCCATAACACCAAATTGTAGTCTGCAATTTAACTAATGACAAACAATTGACAATCTGAATTTACTACTTTTAGGCCGGGTTGTATAATAACCGTTTAAACTTAAGGTTAATCCATAGTTTAAATTTCGGATTAAACTATAAACTCCGCAGTCGAAATTATAGAGAGTGATTCATCGCTAGCTTCTGGACTAGTAAGGGGGATGAAGCGTGCCGGGAACGAAAATCCATTGGCGTGTCTGCGTAAAAGGCAACAAGATATAGAAAATAATGAAAAAGGATAATAAAACATAACATCTAATATTTTTTTACGGTTTGCAAAACAGGCACTTTGATCCATTTTAATTATTACAGCATTTTAAAACGTGCCAATTGTGTTTTTTTAATTTATAAATTTATTATAGCCATGGAATTAGACCCCTCGTCTACGCTTATGCTATGACGTTTCTCAGGACGGGTTAAATCAAGTCCGTTTACACCCACTAAAAAAGCATTTCCCAATTCCCTACCAAGTGCAAAAGACAGAGATACAATATAGATCGACGTTCAGTGTAACTCGGTCTCTAGACGATTATAGATTCTATCGATGTGCGTAGCGAGCGGCACAAAGATAAATAATATTGAACCGTACAAAAATCATTTTATATTTTATACGCATTATGGTAATAGTGTTTTTATTTTATATCTTAGTCACTCTATAATTTCGACCGCGGAGATAAAGATTAGAGAAACGTCTTATAAACAAATTTAAGAAATGCAATGTTGGTACACCTGCTTGTCATAAGCTGTAACTTCACTTCAGTAGGTACGTACCTTATTACGTATAAACGTATTAACAAATAACAAATGCTGAATTTGTTCTAGCAATACACGCATTGAAACTTTGGAATAAATTGTTAATAAATTCACCCTCACTCCAACACTCCATATATGACTGGGTCTTATTCTAAAATTTGTTGGCTGTTTGGTGGCCTCAATTATTACATTGATGATGTGTTCTTCCTCATCAGATAATATATCATCAAACATTTCGAAAACATCTACATCCACTACATCGTTAATTTCCATTTCTATAAGGCTTTGCCCTCTTTCTCATTTTATGGTATTTTCTGTACAATTCTAGACAGGTCTATGATACAATTAGGATCTATTGGCACAGATTAACCCTACCAAAAAACTGTGCTATGGGTACAAAATGTTTTCCATAGTTGCGTTTAACTTCAACGTGTGCTTTAAACGGAGCTTTTGTAGCGGTTAAAGTTTAAACCCTACTCACCAGTTTAAACGCCAGTCTACTAATTAACTAAGCTTATAAAACGTTCACTATTTCAAGGTCACAGTTTAAACGCCTATTTCAAGTTTAAACCTATATACAGGCTGTCTACTATAAGAGGGCCACTCCTATGTATCTCGCTTAATATACGACGCACGTCAAAAATCTTGGTAGGTACCTATATGTTTTTTGTTGCATTTTTTGAGGCCTTTATGCCTGTAGAAACAAATTTGAGATCCATGGCCAACTTTGTGAGTAATCATAAAAAAACCGGAAAAGTACCGAAAGTTTAGGGTCGTTTAACTTTTTTATTTTAAGAGAGAGAAAACTTATTTTCATAAAATTTCATGGCAAAATTGATATCTTTCACCTGGTATAAACAGATTTTAGAACTATCGTATGTAAATTGCTGCGCCCTCTACACGGACAAAAAAAAATTGTTATCGAAGTCGGCTATGGCCACAAAAAAATTGCTTGTTTTTTCTTCTTTAATGCGATATACTACATGTCCCATTTATCTTTTACATTTATTACATTTTTTATAATTTTGATGTAAAAAATATAAACATTTTCGTGATGTTTAAGTTAATGTATAAATTGTTTTAAACACGTCAAATATAAAAAAAAATAATAAATATAATGTACTTCTTTTAAGAAAAATACAAAGTTTCTTATTACATTATTATACTATTGGTTTTTACATTAGAGAGAACTGAGCCTTAAACATTGTTTTTGCACGGATAAAGCAGCTTGCTAAGTGTAGCAAGCTATGACCAGTAATGTCAACATTTGACAAATTGTTTATTGTTGTCATCTGTTGGTTTGAAAATTGTTGTTGTAATTGTTATTTAAAAAACTATAATTTTTAATAAAAATGGTATTTTCAAATATTGAGAAGTATAATATGTTTGTGTTGTATTGTCAATACAATTTCAATTCTGCTCAAGCACTGGCGGAATATAGAAATAAATTCCCAAATGCCGCCCAACCCAACAGAAGAACTTTTTCAAAATTACGAGAAAACCTTCGAAGATATGGATCTTTTAAGAAGGACAGGGGAATAAAATCAGCTAATGTTGTTAATAACATAGGTAATGCTAACAGAATTTTAAATTATGTGAATAGGAAAAATGAACAAAACACTGATACATCTTTGAGAGAAATTGCAGTAAACTGCAATGTAAAGAAGGATAGTGCAAGAAGAATATTGCGAAAAAATGGTTTCAGATGTTATAAGGTGAAAAAAGTGCATCACTTGAGAGAGGCAGATAAACCGAGGAGATTAAGATTCTGTAGGT